TATCAGTTATTAAAAATTCTACACTCCATGCTATACAAGAAGAAAAAAAATATATATTTAGAGTTAAAATGATTATTCAATAACTTACGCTATGGTCGATATTCTATTGATTTTTTTCACCATCCGGTCCAACAGCCCAAATTTTTTTATTTCTTCCATCTGTGATAATCACACCATGACTAACTGGATGAGTTATTAATCGATTCATATTATTAACATTTAATTCATATAAACCAATACGACGAACAAATTGACCTATTTAAAAATTCCTTTTTTTTTGATTCATAGAAAAATACTTTATTACCATTTTTTGTCTTTTTTTTAACAAAATATCTTCGTGGTTCACTTCTCGTCTTTTTCCTAATATAAAACAAGATTGCTTATCAACAGCTAAACTTCGTATTTCGACACCAGATTCAAATATTAGTTGTAATGGTAAATCATGATCAAACACTGATATTTTCGATTTATTATAACCTTTTTCTGAACCATAAAATATTAATTTTTCATCTGATGCTACACTTTGAGAATTAAGATCATGTTCAAGTTGTTTACGTATTAAATTACATGAATATAATTTACAGTCAAGTGGTTCTGATGATCTTTGTTTATGTTCACCAATGATAATTATACTATCATCATGATCAATATATAACTCTTTTATTTCATCATCTGACCATTGAATTCTCTAAATAAATGGCATAAAAAAAAGAAATAAAATAGAATACAATGAAATATTACTTCATTCTCACTTCCATTAGCATCAAATATATAATTAATGAACTTTTATCTTTATTATAAATTAAAATTAAATCTGTATTTGTTATAGATAATATATCCCAATCATAACTTTGTGATAATAGAATTTTTTTATGTAAATTATTATGACAATTATCTAATTTTGAATGAATTATTGATGATGATGATAAACGATTTTATTGTTTAAGAAAGTTTAGAATTGTTTATTGATGATGAAAGATCAACAATTGAATGTGACATTGTTTTTAATAAAATAATTATTGTTATTTCAAACAGATCTATGTGATCGATTATAATTAATAATTCGTGGTGAATATGATTGATGTTGTGGTGAATGATTACGATGAGGATTAATACCATAAGATGCAGTAAGTGTGTTTAGTGATTTATAATGGTTTCCTTCCCAGTGAAAAATAATCATTGAATAGAAGGGTATAGAACATATTCCAGAAAAAAAATCAGGCTTTTTAAGAAAAAAAGCGTTCCATAAAATCTGGAATGTGTTCCAAAATGGAACGGCCGAGAACACATTCTGCTGTTTCTGAAACGCTTTCTTTTAAAGAAAAAACGGACATTCATTTTTCTGGAGCGCGTTCCTGATAATTAACATCTACATCTACATTCTCTACAAAAATCCTCAAAGGGAAGTAAGTACACACTTCGTCGAGAGACCTCTTTCAATGCAACTTTAAGGGCTCTATCCATTGGTATGCTCAGATTTTTCGTAGCTTACACTATAGAAATTATGGCATGAAATATTTTTCTTCCAAAATCAGGTTTGACAACTGGGAAGTTCAATTTATCGAGTGTTTTACCATTTTTGGTGCTAATTGTAATCTATCATACTCTAGCGCAGGCAGTTTTGAACTAGAACTGGCGTTAAATTTGGATGAGAGCGTTCCACAATTTAGAGAACGGCGAGGAATCCATTCCACTCTTTCTAGGAATGATATCAGATTGTCGGTAATGCATTCATCGGTTTAGAGAATTAATTCTCTAGATGTTCCTGTCTTGAACGTCAAAGAATGCGGTCTTATTTTGAGGGGTCCACGAAGAAGTAAAGTTATCATGGTTTAGTTTTATGCTGTGTAACTAAAAAATGGTCTACACCCTTTAGTGCCTTTAGTCCCTTTACTCCTTTAAGTTCCTTTAGGGTGCGGGTGCGAGACAATGTAAATAGCCACACCCACACCCACACCCACACCCACCCTCAAAAAGGAATACTAAGAATATGAGAATTAATATATACTTATTAAATGAATGGTTAGATGTTTTCTTCTAATTCTGTCTGTGTGTGGGTGTGGGTGTGGATGATATGGATCTGAGTGTTATTTTTATGTCATACCATCACCCACACCCACACCCTACTATTAAATGCATCATCATTGCTTAAAGAATTCATTTCGTTATTGGCTCGGGTGAATATTTTCATATATATGATTTATCTAAACACATTGAATGTAAGTATTGAGAAAAAGCAATTTTTTCATTAATATTATGTTCAAGAAATTATTTCGTACAAACTTGTTCTCTTTCTAACTTATGATTACTTCCAATAGGTTGTCAAGCTGTCATCTAATATGAATGGTGAACATTCTATCGTCTTACAACATACAATAAAATGTACAAATTGCAACATAATGATGCAAGGACGAAACCATCGATCGCCTTACAGTCACTTGCTACATACTGTAAACAGAACAGAAAAACGTAACTAAGCGACGAAGAGGCGTTTTAATGTATTCTAATGTTTTTTTTACATTTTCTCTCGATGCCATTGTTACCGTTCTTAATAAACATGTTTTTTTTGTAAGTTAAACACAGTTAACAAAAATATTTTACTCAATAATATATCTGACTCAAATTAGTGAGTTTTATATATTAGAGATAACAATAAGTAACGTGTTGACTTCACGAGTCTTGCCTAACTCAATTCTAAAAAATGGATGATCTTAATTCATTTTGCATACATCTATTTTCGGTTTTCTTCTGGTAAAAAACCGGGTTTAGGTCAGTTGCTCGCAGGACAGTTGCTCGTGGGACAGTTGCCCGCGGACATTTGCTCACCGGACACTTGCTCGCTAGGACACTTGCTCGTATGGACAGTTACTCGTATGGACACTTGCTCGTCGGACAGTTGCTCGCCAGTACACTTGCTCGCCAGAGTATGAGTGTGGGTGAGGATGCGAGTATTGATGCCAGTGTGGGTGAGGATGCGGGTATGGATGTTAGTGTGGGTGAGGATGC